GCTTCTAGGTTGGAGGCCATCGCTCTTAGGTTGGAGGCCATCGCTCTTTTTAGGTTGGAGGGCATCGCTTCTAGGTTGGAGGTTTCTTCGTCCCAGCACCTCGAAGCATGGATGTCAAAGACTCTATCGTTTTCTCGGGCCACTGGATTCCGGGCAGCGGTGCATGCTGATGGTTCCCCCCGAGTCGTGTTCAATTTGGCGATCGCGTGGTCTGGGTTGTTTTTGTCTTGGCAGGCAGATCATGGGAGTCTGGTGGAGCAAAACAAGACTCAGGCGCTTGGGATGGGATCGGGTTCAGTGTGGCAGGATTTTTTTGTCGGAAGTGTCAATTCTCGGCGGGGATTCCTCTCTTGGTTTATGGTTTCCACTTGATGGACCAGGATGGCAATATTATATTGTTTGTTTGTTTTTTGTAGTATGAGTGCTCATCATCCTTAGACCGTGACGAAACCAATAGCCTTTGTGTTGTTCCTACTCTTTTGTATGATTTCTTTGACAAGTGTTCGTCGTGTTCGCCCTTTGTTTGAGAGTAATTGGGCAAGTATCACCGTGTTGATCCGTGTGGGTCTTGCCACTTTTTTTCAGGCCCAGGAGCCCCTACTAGCTTCTTGTTCCTAGTAGCGATGCCAGGAACCCCCATTAGCGTCCTTGTTCCTAGGCCCAGGAGCTCTTCAATCACTTTCTGGAGGCAGTCGGAACGAGCGCTGTCAGAGACGGACTGAGCCCAGAGCTGAGACATTTTCAGGTTTCATTTCACGGGTGGTTACAGGTTCAACTGTGTTCAATTCATTTCTGTGAGAGACATCCTCTAGCTGATTTGGCCTCATGGTTGATCATTGGGGAGAGGTTTGATCCAAAGAATATCAAGCATCAACCTCTTTGTGCTCCTAGGCGAAGTGGTTAGACATGTCTCCGGTCTCGAGTCGAGCACTATTGAGACAAGAATGTTCTCGTTTTGCTATTGAAGCACTCACAGAGAGAGGAAAAGCCATGAGCTGCCTTTCAAAACCAGGTCAAGGACCTTCGTCGTGGTATCATGGTCAACATCGTCCTTGATGTCCATGGCTTTCCTTGTCCTAGATGACTGTGTAACTTTTTGTATGGATGCTCATTGGAGGTGCGGCATCAAGTGGAGGATGTGCATGGCTTGGTGCTTCCCTTGGCGGACGAGCTGCATGTGGGGCACCTGGCTGAAGGGATTGTTGCAGTACTTGCTTCTTCAGCATAGGCCCTGTATAGATGTTTATGTAGAGTCTGTGAAGTACACAGCGCAAGTGGGATGAATCAGTGAGATCGTAGACCGGTTTGGAGGCCTTTTTGGCCCTCAAAAGAAAGTTGGAGGCCATCGCTTCTAGGTTGGAGATGCTAGTATGATGGAGGCTTCCTCTTGCAGCATGCGCAGTCGGTGCTCAGTTGCTGCTTCGGCTCAGAAAGCAGCCATGACCACCGCCGTGGCTTTTAGTCACCGCTGCACCTCGGATTTGCATCGGGTCTCCACCAACTTCTCCGGGGTAAGTTACTGCATTGATATATGATATACTGCTTTTCTTCTCCGAAATGTCACACTGAGAGTTGCTTGTCCTATTCTGAATCTTCAGATCTACCTGCCCACAGCAATTTCCGCGGGCGACTGCGTTTTGAGGTAGCGGTATGAGGCCCGAAGACCAAGAGGCTTATGCACTGCGGGTCTTCCATCTCTTTCCAGAGCCTTGGCACCAAGTCCGTGTGCCAAGGGAGGCCATCGCTATTGGGTTCGTTTTGCTATTAAGTTGGAGGCCATCGCTGTTAGCCTCGACACCCTCAACCTCATCGACCATTGACCCAAAGTTGCACCGAAAGTGGCAAGACAACGGACTTTCCCAGGCCCACAATTCTCATGCACACATTTTTGGTAAGAAGGGAGGATTGAGGTAGGAGCAAGGACGCTACTAGGAAGGACGCTACTAGGGACTCCTGGCCTTACTACTGGGAGCAAGGACGCTGTTCTATCCGACGTTCACGGCGTTCACGACGTTCCCCGATGAGCGTTGCCGCTCAGGAGCTTTTTCACCTCTTGGGTGATCCTAGCCTGCCGCAGCACTTTGATCCAAGCCGAAGTGTTGTGGACCTGTGGCTTGGATGACCTACCTGAAGCTGCGAAGGTTGGTGCAATTCTTCAAGGCAACGCATATTCTATGTGTTTTTTTTTCCATTGAATCTATATTATTCTCTCTCTCTCTCTCTCTGTGATGATCTGAGCTGAGGCAAGAGTCGGTCCTGCAGACTGTGCTCAGGGCATCTTGGACAAGTTTCTCTGGTCGATCTTTGCAGACCAGAAGACTTCTACTAGTAACAGGTGCCTTACTAGTAGTAACAAGAAGCTAGTAGTAACAGGTGCCTTACTAGTAGTAACAAGAAGCTAGTAGTAACAAGTGCCTTACTAGTAGTAACAAGAAGCTAGTAGTAACAGGTGCCTTACTAGTAGTAACAAGAAGCTAGTAGTAACAAGTGCCTTACTAGTAGTAACAAGAAGCTAGTAGTAACAGGTGCCTTAC